AAAAAGGAAAGCTGGTAAACAGAGTCTTTGTCGTTTGCTTTTACAAACAAAAAAGAAAGAAAGAAAATAAATGCGATAAATGTGAATGTGTTTGGTGTATTCTTTCCTGAGTGGGATCTGAAAAAAAATTGCACATGTCACGCATGTAGAATGTGTAAAAAACACCAACAAAGCAAACACACATAAACCCACCACTGAGCTTCATGAATACAATATCACCAACAGTTTGGTGCCCAACGTGCCCTCTCTCCCCAGAGGTTCTTCTGCATTTGGAGACTTGCTTTTTTCACTTCACATCTTGTGTGGAAGATCCATCCCTGCCAATGGCTAAAAACTCTTTTTTCTTTTTCTTTTTCTTTTTTTGAGACAGAGTCTTGCTCTGTCACCCAGGCTGGAGTGCAGTGGCACAATCTCTACTCACTGCAACCTCCACCTCTTGGGTTCAAGTGATTCTCCTGCCTCAGCCTCCCGAGTAGTTGGGACTATAGGTTGCACCACCACACCCAGCTAATTTTTGTGTTTTTTAGTAGAGACGGGGGCTTCACCATGTTGCCCAGTCCAGTCTGAAACTCCTGACCTCAAGTGATCCACTTGCCTTGGCCTCCTGAAGTGCTGGGATTACAGGTGTGAGTCACCACGCCCAGCCTAGAAATTCATTTTTCACTGCTGCTTAACAATCCACCACATGACTATAGTATAAACCATGTGACCATTCTCCTGTCGGGGACGTTCAGATCTTTCCTTGTTATTGTTGTTGCTGCTGCCATTCCCAACAACACCGGCTCCAGCACACACATTTTTCTACGGTGTATATACCTAGGAGTTGTTTCTGGGGAGGAGGGTACACCTTCACCTGTGCCAGCTTCTACTATCTCTCTCTTGCAGACCTGAGCCACCAGGTAAAAAGGTCCAGCTACCCTGCTGAAAAGACTATGTAGCAAAAGACCATGCAGGAGAAGAAAGAGAGAGAGAGAGAGAGAGAGAGAGAGTGAGAGAGAGAGAAAGAATGAGAATGAGAATGCCCAGCCAGCCCCCAGCCTGTCCAGCCAGCCCAGCCGAGGCACCTGGCATGTGGATGAAGCCATCTTGGAACTTTCAGTTGCAACCAAGCTCCCAGCTGAATGTACCCATGGGAGTGACCCAGCCCACCACATGGATCTAAGATGAGCCATCCCTGCTGAGCCCTGCCCAAACTGCAGAATTATGAGAGAAAAAAAAATGGTGGATGTTTTAAGCCCCTAAGTTTTGGAGTGGCCTACCATGTAATAAGAGATTGTGGAAAACATTAGCCATCTTATAAAATACCCCAAAAGTTTGGTCATAAAATCAAAGCAAACAATGATCCTCATCCTGCCCCAGATACGATCACTAACTATATGTAGCCCCTCCCCATCCCATGGCCAACTTGCTCATTCTCCATCCACACTACCCCCACAGTGAATTCTCCTTTTGGTGGGGTGAGGTGGGTGGGCAGCAGAGCTAGGTCTTGACCTGCCAGGAGGAAATCCACAGTCTGAGCAGGACACTGATGCTGGATGCTGACACATTTCATCTTCAAGGAAGACCTGAGAGGCTCCCTGGCACAAACCCCAGCCAAGGGGTCCCCAGACAGGTTTTTTCCTCCTAGATATTCCAACAGGGGCACAAGGAAGTGGTTCACGGGGAATCCCTGGGAAAGCCTCAGGAAAAGCCAGCAGAGCCTTGGGCGGGCTGAGAAAGGAGAATTTTTTCTGTAAAAGGTCATCCTGTCTCCTGCATTCCTTCACTGCATTTCCAGCCACCAGAGTGTCTATGAAAGTCCTTATTCTTCCTCTCTTGGCTCTAACCAAACATTCACTGCTGTAGTGGAAGATGGACTCTGGTAGCAGGGAGTGGGGAGAAAGAGGCCTTTCTTCCTTTCTTTCTTTCCTTTCTTTCTTTCTTTCTTTCTTCTTTCTTTCTTTCTTTCTTTCTTTCTTTCTTTCTTTCTTTTCTTTCTTTCTTTCTTTCTCTCTTTTTTCTTTCTCTCTTTCTTTCTCTTTCTTTCTTTCTTTCTTTCTTCTTTCTTTCTTTCTTTCTTTCTTTCTTTCTTTCTTTCTTTTCTTTCTTTCTTTCTTTCTTTCTTTCTTCTTCTTTCTTCTTTCTTTCTTTCTGTCTTCTCTCCTTCCTTTTTTCTTCCTTCTTTTTTCTATCTTTTCTTTCTTTCCTTTCTCTCTTCTTTATTTTCTTTCTCTCTTTCCCTCTCCTTTCTTTCCTTCTCTCTCTCTCTTCCTTTTTCTCTCCTTTTCTTTCCTTCTTCCTTTCCTTTCCTAGGATTTTTAATGTTTATATGGTTCACTGGTCCCCGGGGTCAAGACTTTAGGCCCCCACAGAATGTTTCCAGAGATCCACTGACTCCCTTGGGAAGAGCTGGGAGAAAACACAGAGGGTGTCACCAGGCTGATGTCCCTGCACCCGCAGGGGACGGGACCCAGCTGGCAGAGTTGGACACCAGCTGTTTGCCGGTGAAGTCTCAGCTAGTCCTCGCACTCAGATGCCTGCCGTGGTCCCGCCCACATGTGCGGGATCACAGCACAACCCTCAGGATCCTGCCGCTCCTGAAATATCTGCTTAAAGGAGGCCCAACTGCTTGACAGATTCATCTCCCATTCTGGCTTCTGATGCCCCATGGAGCCCAGTCATTTGTGCAGGGTACTGGGGCTGTTAGACCTGGCCAGTGAGTCATAGGGTTGATTCCCTTTGGGAAGTAACCACAAGCCCAACCTCAGACCCAAACACTCTGAGGCTGAAGAGATTGGGCACGTACCTAACAACCATCACAACTAGGGGGTCTCCGGATGGAGTGGGGGGTACTTGGGCCTACCTCTCAATACTGTAATCTTCCACCTTCTCTCTGAGTGGCCTGGGCAGTTCCCTTCACCTCTCTGAGCCTCAGTTTCCTTACCTGTAAAATGGGCACAAATCCCCCCTGCCTCTTGGGTTGTTGACAAGATTTGGGAGAGAGTTTCCAAGGGCCTTCCCACTTTGGGAGCCTCATATAAGAAAGTGTAGATGGACCTTGCCTGTTACTCCAGGGCTGGCTCAGGGTGTCCCTGCCGGGGGCTGCAGAAACCCCACAGAGACCCGGTTTTCAATAAGTAGGCATCTCACCCCTCATAAGCCACAGCGGCCCTGGCCCCAGCTCCCCATCACCTGTGTCTGACACTTTAGCCATCATTTAACATCAGAAAGTTTATTGCTGGCCCTCAGGGGCTCAGCCCTGCCCTAATGGGCCAACCTCAGGGGTCCTACCCTTTGAAGAGGGTCTTTATGGTAATTGATGGTAATAGCGGGTAGCCTGGGGCCCCAGGTAGGAAGCCCCCCTGGGGATAATTGAATTAGCCTGGAAAACAAATTACTTTCGGCCAAAACAAATCACTTTCAATCACAGAGCAACATATAAGATCCCCCAAACCACAAAGCCACTCACAGTTCAAGGAACAGACAAGGGGCTGGGGGACCCCCGGGAGAGTGGGCTGATCACAGAGCAGAAATGGGGTCAAGCCAGGCCTCCTTCCCCCTATCCAGTGGCCAGGACTGGGGGCCCCTCTTGAGCTGAGTTTACCTGTGACTAAAGTGTGTGTATGTTTTGTTTTTTGGGGGAGGTGGTGATGTTCCCTGGTCAAGCTGTCATCTAAGTATTAGGTGAGAGGTCCTGTCTGTTGTATATGGATGCATTGAGGGTCTTCCTCTCAATGTAGAGATAGATGTTTCCCAAGGGAGTCTTAAGCACAGCCCTGGGAGGCAGGTGCACTGATACCTAAAGACAGGATCCCACCCAGGCTCACTGCTCATGTCACAAGTAAGGTGACCAGTCCCAGCTACTCAGGAGGCTGAGACGGGAGGATCACATGAGCCCAGGAGGTTGAGGCTGCAATTGGATGTGATTGCCCCACCGCACTACAGCCTGGGTGACAGAGCCAGACCCTGTCTCAAAAAACAAACAAACAAACAAACGCACAAAAAACAAAGCCCCAGAGCCTCTGTGCACGTGCAGAAGGGACCTACCCAGTCCTTACCTATAGGATGTGAGTGGTATAAGTAGCCTCACCTGGTGGACGCCCGAAAACCTTCCACCCCTAAGCCAGGGTCTACCCCATCCCTCCAGGCCTGGCTGATGCTGGGGAACACCAACGCCAGAGCTGTTTGCCCCATCTCTGCCTCCATGGATGGCAAGGAGGTCAGAGGTCCTACCAGGAGCAAGGAGACCTAGCCCCAGCTTGGCAAATGGAAGTGGGCAGGGCTGACCTCCCACCCAGATGTGCTCTGCCTCCTCTACACGGGAGATGTGCCGAGGCTCTCACCTGCCCAGCAAGCACTTAGTGAAGCGCCTCTGGGGGCCAGGCCAGCACCCAGCCCAGGTGGGGGGCAGTCATCGAGGCCCCCATGGCCTTGTGAGGAGGCAGGGGTGTAACCAGAAGCCAACGGTGGATGCATGGCCCAAGGATGGAGGGGCACCTTTGAGGCAACAGCCCCTCAGTTCAGTGGATCCCTGACAGGACCCAGGTTAGGGCCAGTGACCCAGGGAAGGGGCCTCCAGGGCAGAGACCAGCAATGCCAGGCACAGTCACAGGTGGTCAGATCCAGTGCCCCCCACAACCATTCCTAGCTGGAGATCGCCAATCCCCGCCACAGGTTTGCCACGGGTCTGTGCTTGGGCAAGATCTCTGTGGTGGCCAGGACAGGCGGAGGTGAGGCGGGCCTGGAGGCTAGAGTACAGAGAGGAGGAGGTAGCTGCCATGCCTCCATGGGCTTCACTCCACAGCCTCAGGTGAGCCCAGGTTTTTCTAACCCCTGACCTTGAGGCATGAGGTCCAGTCCACACAGGGCCCCTTTCTTGTGGTGTGACCTTGGACAAGTGGCTTAACCTCTGGTCTGTAGAACCTTCTAGAAGATTCTTTCCCCTCATGCCTCCTCTCCTCCAAAGACAGCCTGTATGCATGGCCCCCCCTCACCCCCTGCCTCCTGCCCCCAGGCCCAGAGGCTTGGCCCCCGTCTGTCCTGGCTCCCACCTGTGCCCAGCTCCAGGACGAGGCTCCACACTTGCCCCTCTCTCCTGCAGCTCCGTGGAACCCACACAGCCAGGCCGGCCCCTCCCTGGGATCCCCGACCTGCTCTTGGCACATCCAGCAGCTGCTCCTCAGTCCTCAGTCTGCAGGACCTCTGATCACCCCTCAACGCCCAACGGGCTCCACACTGCGTGGGTGCCTCTTGGTCCCAGTCACCTCCTCCTGTGTTCCCCGTGCTGCTCTCTTTGCATTCGCTGACCTCCCAAGGCCGCAGGGCTGCAGCTCTGTCTGACCCCTCTCCCCCATGCTCACCGGGCAGGCAAGCTCCCTGATATGGCTTGGCTGTGTCCGCACCCAAATCTCATCTTGAATTGTAGCTCCCATAATTCCCATGTGTTGTGAGAGGGACCCAGTGGGAGATGATTGAACCGCAGAGGTGGTTTCCCCCATACTGTTCTCGTGGTAGTGAACAAGTCTCACAAGATCTGATGGTTTTATAAGGGGCTTCCCCTTCTGCTTGGCTCTCGTTCTCTCTCCTGCCGCCCTGTGAAGAAGTGCCTTTTACCTTCCGCTATGACTGCAAGTTTCCTGAGGCCTCCCCAGCAATGCGGAACTGTGAGCCAATTAACCTTCTTCTTTTACAAATTACCCAGTCTCGGGTACGTCTTTATTAGCAGTGTGAGAATGAACTAATACACTTCCCAATGCCCTTCAGTTGAAATTCATTGACTCTGGTGACCCAGAATGTCTGTCTCCCTGGACTCCAGACTCTTGCTTCCAGCTGCCCCGGAGATTGCTGCATGGATGTCTCACAGGACCTCCAACTCCACAAGTCCAAACTGTGCCAGGACCTCCCACTCAAACCTACTCCTTTCACCCATCTCCCAGCTGGGGACTCAGCCACTTCACCCTCCAGCTCCCAGGCCAGAAGCCCTGTCCGGCAGCAGGCCCTGTCCCCTCACCCTGCAGGATGGAGGCAGAATCTGATCATCCCTGGGCCCAGCCACCATCGGAGTTCACCTGTGCCCCTCCCCACTCAGTGCAGCCACCTTTGTGCTTTTACACTCTGGGACCCTCTTGCTCAGAGCAAAAGCCAGGGTTCTTACAAGGCCTCTAGGACCCCACAGATCTGTGACCGGAGCCCAATCTCAAGTAGCCCTGCTGTGGAGAGAGACACGTGTAGAAGAGCCCTGGGGTCCGTGATGGAGGAGGGCAGCCACCTCGGACCTCCGACTCAGCCTGGCCTCCTGAGGATGGAAATCTCAGAGGGAGACCAGCGGGCAGGTAGAGCGGTCACAAGCTGACCTTGCTGAGTCCCCAGTTCCTGTGCACAGAATTGTGAGCAATACTAGGGTTTCGTGTGAAGTCACTAAGCTTGGGAAGGCAGCGGCGCCTGATGTATTGCACACTTAGCTGCTTAGTTATCTTTCAGTCCCCACCCCCTCCTCCAGAATTACAGCTCCTCAAGGGCAGGGACTTGACTTCTCTCCCTGATGAGTCCCCACCACCTAGACTGGTGTTTGACCGGTTACTGAGGTACTCGGTAGATATTTAGCTTATTTGAGTATTAACTGAAGAAATGGCAAAGGGGCAAGTTGCCAGGCACTTGACTGCTAGCAGACCTCAGGGAATGTTGCCGTCGGGTCTCTCGGGGGTGCTGACAACAAAGCCCAGGCCCCTAATGCCAGGGGAGGAGGCCTGGGCTGGCCAGCAGAACCCATGCCTAGCTCCGATGGCAGAGGCATCAGCTGCCTCTCATCTGTCTCCTCAGTTCACCTTCTGCTTCTCTGACTCTCAAATAGACCCTTAATTGACCATTTGGCCCCTAAATTAGGGATGATTAGGATCAACCCCCAAGCATCATTTCAGATGGCGGCCAGGGGCCTGAAGCCCCTCTTTGGGGTCCTGGGGGTCCTTCGACTTGGTCAAATAAAGGTCAGCTCTCTGGCCTGGCATGGGTGCCTTGGTAACCTCTGACCCTCAGCTCTTAAACCTGACCCCTGGTGACTCAGACCCGAGGGACTCACTGCAAATGGCCAACTAGAAAACGCCCGAAGATGCAGTGTGGAGACAGCCCCTCATGTGCCTGGAACCTGCAGAACATCCCCCTGCAGCCAGCGTTCTGCTGGTCACTCTTTCTGAACATAAGCTCCCAAGGCACAGAAAGGCACGCAGATACCAAAGCCAGCCCAGGAGGACCCCAGCACCACCTCTCATGGATTTGAGGCTCATCTTGCAGCAGCCGCTACTGTTGCCGTTCCAACCTCCTACCTGCTACCTGGACCTGGGCAACTGCAAACATCTGCAAGCCTCAGTCTCCTCATCTGCAAAATTTGGACAGTCATAGCACCTGCAGTTTTGTAGTGTTGTTCTGAGGGTCATATGGCACGAGGAGCGTGTCATTCTTTCTACACATGAGGAAGAGTAAATCCAAGCTCCTGGGGGCTCCAGAGCCATTGTCTCTCCCAGTTCCCAAGCCGGCCCCGCCAACCAGGCTAGAGAAGCGTCGTTGAGCTTAACTGGCCCAGAGAACATCCAGGGTCCCACTGTTCTGGCAGTCTTTCTCTTGGGCTTGTGTGCAAGATTGAGTGTGTAAGTGTGTGCACACATGGGGGCATTTCTCTGGGCAACCCACACCCATATGCACACACACACACGCACACAGGCCTGGGCAGGCCAGCCTGGTACAGCTGTGCAAGTTGCTGTACCAGGGCCCCTCCTGGATGATGCCCAGCCTCCCACTGCCTGCCAAGCTACATGCCCAGAGCGAGGGGCACCTTTTTCTCTGTTGCAGATACTGCGAGGGCAGAGCACCTGCCAGCCTCCCCCTCCTGGTGATGCCCGTCTCTCTCAAAGGCTTGACTCTGGCTTCCTCGACTCCCAGCCCCACTTCTTACACCTGCGGCTCCAGCCGTAGGATGCTCCCCGGCTCCTGTTCCATGACCTCTCCCTCTCATCAGCTGCCCTCAGTTCAGGGTCCTCAGCCCTAGAGTGTGCCACCCTCATCATGGCTCTGACCGCCCAGTACCTGCCCTGCTCGTCTGCGGCGCCCTCCATGGGCAGGCAGCGCCAGTGCAGTGCAGCAGTTGGGTAGGTGGAACTCTGGCCCTGGTCTCCACGTCCCTGGGCCTGGCCTGGACAGACAGGCTGGGCAGGCCCCTGGGAACAGTCGGGCATGTGTTCTGCATCCAGGACAGCTCTGTCTGGGAGATGCCTCAGAGCCAGGCCCACCATGAGCACCCATCCGGCGCCACGGAGAGCAGCCCGTCGAGCAGTAGAGGATGCCGTTGTGTGGTCTTTGAACTGGCCCAGTACGAACACCTAACACAAGGCTAAATGGGGACCTGCAATTTTGTCCTGTTGTTCTAAGAGTCATATGGTACGATGGGCACATCATTCTGCCCATATCATTCCACCTCTGCAACATTCCTGTGAGGCAGGGAGAGCCACATGCCCTGTCCCCGGGAGTCCCTTGGCGGCGCTCCCTCGAAAGCCGAAAAGCCCAGAGAAGACGGATGCCTGCAGTGGGATGGCAGGATGGCAGGAGCTGGAGAGCCTTGGGTCCCAGCTCTGCTTGGCCTCGGAGAGTCAGGCTTGCTCTCTGGGCTCAGTTTCCCCTCAGAAACACAGGGTTCCTTCCCCCTCTGATGGTGGACGCAGCCGGAACTTTGCAGACAGTAAGTAGGTGCACCCCAAGCATGAAATCGAGGCCACGGCTCCCCACGGGAAGGGGATGGGGATGGATATTTCTGTATATTCCAGGTAGTGAGTGCAGGTGTTAGCCAGCGCTTATCAGGTTACTTCGGAAACTAAACCGTTCCCAGGGCCCACGCCCAGCGCCAGTGCTCCCCATAGGTTTATTCACACCTGGAAGCTGCAGGCTCTTGATGTGGTTCCTCTGATGTGCGTGCGCTCTGAAACCTAAACCCCCTTTGCTGCAGGCCTACAGAGTCTCCGCAGGCACTCAGGGAGAGGCCCCGGCAGGGCAGGCACCCTGTCCACCCTGACTCACAATGTCCTGGAGCGCCTGCCGTCCGGCCCGTTCCACTGGGGACTTGTCCGTTTCCACTTTTCCTCCAGGTTCCTCTCCCTCTCCTGGGGCCTGAGGGCCATCACCCCATGGAATGCTGCACCTTGGGAAAGGAGCAGCCTCCGAGGACCTGGCCGGTGCTTTTCCCGGGCCTCCCAGCTGCCTCCCACCTCTGGGCAATTTATGGGGTCACGAACCACCTCAAGGGTGCAATTCCTTGTCCTGGTGCCAATTGGCCTCTAAAGTGCTTTACAACCTGCTTGTAGCACCGAGAAAGGGAACCAGCCCCCTGGATGGCCCCGAAACCATGGTGGCCCCGCCATTTGTCACCTTGGGCCAGGCAGGCCTGGAATCTGCCCTAAGCCCAGCCACTGTGACAGCCGACAGCCGCTTCCTCCTTTCTGCACAGCATTCCAGTCATATATGGTCATTCTTTACGTAAAAGCATCGAAGGGCGTAGCTCTTCAGAGGGACAGGAGCCTGAATCCCACTGTCTCTTCCTTCGGGTTTTCAGGTGTGAAAAGGGGATGGACAAAAGCTATTCTTCAAAATTGTCACGAGGTTGAAATTAGATGACAGCTGTCAAGCAAAGGCCCCTCGCAAACCTTCATAAATGGTGATGGTTTTATTAACATCAAAGTGGAAACGGCCAGGAATCTCACCTTCCAGAGACAAGCATGGCTACTGTTTTATGGTCTCTCCTTGCATACTTTTTCCTTCTTCTGTCCTGGAAAATTTCAGGCATACTGAAAAGTGCAAAAAAAGCACACGGCAGTTTTTTGCTTTTTTATTTTGGTTTGTTTTGTTTTGAGACGGAGTCTTGCTCTGTTGCCCAGGCTGGAGTGCAATGGCACGATCTCGGCTCACTGCAACCTCCGCCTCCTGGATTCAAGCAATTATCCTGCGTCAGCCTCCTGAGCAGCTGGGATTACAGGCACACGCCACCGCATCCAGCTAATTTTTGTATTTTTAGTAAAGACAGGGTTTTATCATGTTGGTCAGGCTGGTCTCGAACTCCTGACCTCTGGTGATCTGACCACCTTGGCCTCCCAAAGTGCTGGGATTATAGACATGAGCCACCACACCTGGCCCACATGCTGATTTTGTGAATAATTTTAAAGTGAAAATTCACAGAACCAACAGGCCTGCAAGAGACAGACCCCAATCAGCATACAGAAGCCCCTCCCATCCCCTTTCTGAGCCCAGCTGATCCTTCTCTCTCCAAGGGAATCACCGTTCTGACTTTGTCCTGCTTTCTTTAGAGCTTTACAGCCTAGATATTCCTCTCTAAAAAATGTCCTTTTTTACTTTTTCCTACGTGTAGGTCTTGCCTTCTTCCTCTTCATTATATTTGTGAGATTTATTTGTATGAATGAGTGAACTTGTACTTGGTTTATTTTTCCTTGCTGTATCATATCCCACAGTGTGAATGTGCTATTAGGTTGGTGCAAAAGTAATTGCGGTTTCTGCCATTACTTTCAGTGGAGCTAGTCTTTCAATGTCCTAGTCTGGAGCTGTTGGAACCTGGCTGCTCAGAACACCTTGGTCCTGAGGGGAATCCACCCAGCAACCATACAGCACGTAGACCTTCAACTTTACCAAATGATGCTAGCCTGGCTAGGCATGGTGGCATTCACCTGCAGTCCCAGGCTGAGGCAGGGGGATCACCTGAGCCTGAAATGTCGAGGCTACAGTGAGCTGAGATGACACCACTGCACTCTGTTTTTTAAGCAGACTATTTTGCTCTGCAGATATGTATAGATCCTTGAAAAGGAAAGTTAGATGCAAAAATTAGCCAGACTTGGTGGTGGGAGCCTGTAATCCCAGCTACTCAGGAGGCTGAGGCAGGAGAATTGCTTGAACCTGGGTGGTGGAGGTTGCAGTGAGCTGACATCACACCACTACACTCCAGCCTGGGTGACAAGAGTGAAATTCTGTCTCAAAAAAAAAAAAAGAAAAAAATTTAAGTTTAGTATGTGGCTACACAGATGTCAAACAAAAAGGTTTTCCTATAAATGCTGTGTGTGCAGTGCAGATAACACTTTTTTTTTTTTTTTTTTTTGAGATGGAGTCTCGCCCTGTCACCCAGGCTGGAGTGAAATGGCACGATCTTGGCTCATGCAACCTCTGCCTCCTGGGTTCAAAGGATTCTCCTGCCTCAGCCTCTAGAGTAGCTGGGATTGCAAGCACCCACTATCATGCCCAGCTGATTTTTGTATTTTTAATAGAGACAGGGTTTCATCATGTTGGCCAGACCTCAGGTGATCCGCCCACCTCGGCCTCCCAAAGTACTGGGATTACAGGTGTGAGCCACCGTGGCTGGCCCACATGGAACACTCTTAGACACATACAACAAAAATCTGTTAACAGCAGGACTACTGACAGCAGTGGGGGTCTGCTTTCACATTTCATTTTATTCCCTCTTTATGGTTTAACATAAACATGGCTAACAATGAGCACGTTTGTTTTGGGCTCATATGGCAGGTGATGTTCTGAAGCCTGGTTTTATGGAAGGCCAGGGAAATCTGTCTATGTCAGCAAGCACACCTTGCAACCGACTGGCATAGCCACTCATGGTTTGGGTACCAAAGTGTCCCCTGAGACTGGACATTGAGGTTGGTTTCAGTGTTTCACTATGATAAATAAGAGTGTGATCTATTTATCCAGATAGACATTTTCACATACTCAGGTGATCTCCCCCACCCAACTTCCAGCTGTTTTTTGTTTTGTTTTGTTTTGTTTTTCCTGAGGCAGAGTCTCTTGCTCTGCCACCCAGGCTGGAGTGCAGTGGCATGATCTTGGTTTGCTGCAACCTCTGCCTCCTGGGTTCTAGCGATTCTTCTGCCTCAGCCTCCCGAGTAGCTGGGATAATAGGCGCGCACCACTACGCCCGGCTAATTTTTGTATTTTTAGTAGAGACAGGGTTTCACCATGTTGCCCAGACTGGTCTCGAACTCCTGACCTCAAGTGATCTGCCCACCTCAGCCTCCCTTGGCAAAATCCCATGGGCAAAATCCAGCCTGCTGTTTCTCTTTCTCAAGGAGAAAGAGAAGGAGAGGGAGAAGGGGAAGGAGTAGTAGTCAGGGCAGGCATGGCTCACCCCAGAACTTTGGGACACCAAGGCAGGAGGATTGCTTGAGGCCAGGAGTTTGAGACCAGCCTGGGCAACATGGTGAAACCCTATCTCTACCAAAAATACAAAAATTAGCTAGGCGTGGTGGCATGCAACCATAGTCTCAGCCACTTGGGAGGCTGAGGCAGGGGGATCACTTGAGCCTGAAAGGTCAAGGCTATAGTGAGTAGAGATCACACCACTGCATTCCAGCCTGGGTGGGTGACAGAGCGAGACCCTGTCTCAAAGAAGAAGTCAGGTCAGGTAGCATTGGAGCCGGAAGTCAGGCACTCTGGAGTCTGTTCTTTCCCTACCTCTACCCTTTGGTCGAGTCCCCCAGGCTGCCATGTCATACCACCTTCCATCTGTCCACCAACTGTGTAGTTGTGCAGTGCGAAGCCTGCGCCACTGTGCACAGCAGCCTTGTACAAGGGTCCTTGTCCTCCCTGGCCCCTTTGTCTCGCAGAGACCAGGCAGCTGATGAACAAAGGTTCCTAAGGCCTGTGTCTGCCATTCCGCCCTTCCCGGAAGTTTCTGTAATGTAGAAAAAGCCCGCAGGAAGGGCACCACTCTGCCCTCTGATGGTCTGTCTGGGTTGTGGGGAGGCACAGTGAAAGAAAAACAGCACCTGCTGTGTGCCAGGTCCGGGGCTGGGTGTTTCCGGGCAGCTTTCATTTACTCTTCAGGATGGCTCTGTTTTATGGGTGAGGAAACTGAGGCTCAGAGAGGACAAACAGCATCACAAAGCCGGTCAGTGGCAGACCCAGGAGCACAGCAGCTTTGGCAGCCGGTCCGTGACCTGTAAAGGGGGTCCCCTCCCCCTTTGGCTGAAGCACAGGTGGCTATCCCCAATTTGTTCCCTGCCCATTAACAGCCCGACCTCTGAACCATATTGGGCGTTAAGGAATTAGAGCCGAGATTGCCACCTTTTGGGAGCTGACACTCCTATTCCTATGTAACCCCGCCCCGCCTCCCTCCGTCCCTCCGTCCAAGTGTCGGCTGGCAAACATCTGTCCTGTAAATCAAAGCACTTGCGGACTCGCCAGGTTTGACAGGTCTCCGAGAATTTCATGGAGCCCTTTGGAGAAGACACCATCACGGGCTGCGAACGCATTTGAAAAAGTTAAAAGCCTCCTTTGCAAGCACAAAGTGGCCCGGAGAGCCTGGCTCCGAGAGGTCATAGCCCTGGGCAGCTGAGCCAGCGAGCCAGGGAACGGTGGATTCCATCCCAGGGGGCAGCTCCTCTGACCCTCTAAGGAAAACATCGGGGAGGTTCCGGCTGGAGGATCTTGAGTAGAAAGCCATTGTGCAGGAGCCCCGGGGATTTGTTTGGGAGGAAGGTGACATTCGGGGACGGGTAAGACAGCGCCGTCTGCACACCTTTGACCACTGAAGCTGCACGACGTCCCTGCATGTGGTCGCTCGCTGCTGACTGATGGGAGTCACTCAACCACACCACAGGCCTCCTTTGTCCTGGCCCCAAGTTAACATTTTAAAAATATCTCTTCCTGGTTTAATAGCTCCTGTGTTGTGATAATAAAAGTGATCCATTTTCAGTGTAGGAAATGCAGGAAAAAAGAGACAGATAAAAATAAGGACAGAATGGGTGTATTCTCTTACTTAAAAAAAAAAATGGACTGCGATGCGTGTTTTGTTCTTTCTTTCTTTCTTTCTTTCCTTCTTTCTTTCTTTTTCTTTTTCTTTTTTTTTTTTTTTTTGGCTTTTATAGAATCAATTTTACATCTGGGTGTCCTGCTGTTTGTACCTTGCCTCACGTGGTGACAATTTTTATCCGGGGCCTAATTGTTTGGATGCACTCACTCTTCTTCGTGGAACCCATTGAAACTGTGGCCCACGGGCAAAATCCAGCCTGCCGTTTGTTATACAAGCTAAGGATTTTTTTTTAACTGTTTAAAATTTTTTTTTTTTATTTCTTGAGACAGAATCTTATTCTGTCACCTGGGCTGGAGTGCAGTGGTTCGATCTCAACTCACTGCAACCTCCGCCTCCCAGGTTCAAGCAATTCCCCTGCCTCAGCCTCCCAAATAGCTGGGATTACAGACACCCACCACCACGCCCAGCTAATTTTTTGTATTTTTAGTAGATACAAGATTTCACGATGCTGGCCAGGATGGTCTTGAACTCCTGACCTCCAGGAGGCAGGTGATCCACCTGCCTCGGCCTCCCAAAGTGTTGGGATTACAGGCATGAGCCACCATGCCCAGTCTTTTTTTTTTTTTTTTTTTTTTACATTTTTAAACATTAAAATGTAAAAAAAAAAAAACCTCAAAAGAACAATAAGGTTTTGTGACACATGAAATATTATGAAACCCAAATTTCAGTTTGTTTGTTTTTTTTTAAGATGGAGTCTCACTCTGTCGCACAGGCTGGAGTGCAGTGGCACGATCTCTGCTCACTGCACCTCTGCCTCCCAGGTTCAAGCAATTTTCCTGCCTCAGCGTCCTGAGTAGCTGGGTAGCTGGGATTACACTCACCAGCATGCCTGGCTAATTTTTGTATTTTTAGTAGAGACAGGGTTTCGCCATCCTGGCCAGGCTGGTATCGAACTCCTGACCTCAAGACATCTGCCAGCTTCAGCCTCCCAAAGTGCTGGGATTACAGGAGTGAGCCACTATGCCTGGCCCCAAATTTCAGTTTTATTGGCACATAGACATGCACATTCGTGAATGCATTGCCTGTGGCCACTTTCATGCCACAACAGCAGTGTTGAGGAATTGTGAGAAGGACCTATGGCCCTCAGAGCTGAAATTTACTATCTGGCCCCTTACAGAAAAAAATTGCTGATCCCTGCACAAAACTGGGCCCTAATGAGTATCTTTGCATATTTCTTATTTCTTTTTTCTTTTTCTTTTTCTTTTTTTATTGGTGGAGTCTTGCTCTGTTGCCCAGGCTGGAGTGCAGTGGCTCACTGTAAACTCCACCTCCCAGGTTCAAGAGATTCTCCTGCCTCAGCCTCCTGAGTAGCTAGGATTACAGGCATGTGCCACCACGCCCGGCTAATTTGTTTGTATTTTCAGTAGAGATGGGGTTTCACCATATTGGCCAGGCTGGTCTCGAACTCCTGACCTCATGATCTGCCCACCTCAGCCTCTCAAAGTGCTGGGGTTACAGGTGTGAGCCATCGCACCCGGCCTAAGGACTTTCTTTACGTTAAACTCCTAGAAGTAGAATTGTGTGGTTAAAAAGGATGAACAGTTTGAAGCATATTCATTCATTGAATCAGCTCACTTTGTACTGATCCTGTGCCAGGGTGGGAGCTGCAGTGGACCCCATGAGGCCAGGCCCTGCTCTCCTCAGCTTGTCTCATTCCGAGAAAGCGAGGCACCAGTTGGCGAAGTCTATGGGCATTAGGCAGGGTCTCCTGGGACCTGGCAGGGACTCTGGACTCATCGTGATAACAGCGCAGCTTCCCACAGGAGTGGATTAGGATGGACGCTGCAGGGTTTCTGCCAGGCTGGAGACTCTCTCCAATTCGCTCCTCCACCCCCTGGCCTCGGGACAGGCTGTTCCCCCAACACCTCGGAATCTCTGCCTAGCAGGACTTCTCCGATAGGCCTCTGTCAGTTTGGCAGGTAAGAAGAAGGCTTCTCCCTCCAGTTTGAACATTCTTATCTTCATTGGCTATGTGTATTTCTTCTTTTGAAAACAGTTTCTCACGACTTTCCAGGTGAACTTAGGAAGCTGTTGAATGATGTTGCAGAAAATAGGGGTGGGCGGAAAGGAAGCCAAACCTCCATCCTCACCCCTGCTCGATTCTTCGTGGAGTTTGTCTCTGGATGCACCGTCCTCAGGAAGGAGAGTCAGCAAACTGCACCGCCGTCTCCCCTTCCAAGGGAAGCCAAGGGCCGGTCCCAAACGGGGGTGTTTTCACCCTGGGGACCTGGGGAGCAGCTTTGGAAGCCTGCCAGGCCAAGAGGGGACGGGGTCAATGAGCCCGCCGGTTCCCAGGGTGCCTGGAACTGGGCCCCTCGGTGAACCAACATCAAGAAGTGTCCCTGGCCCTCTGCTGGGAGGACCCCTCTGAGTCCGTCCTCAGGGGCATCTGGACCTGCCATCTCCCTCCTAGCTGCCTCTGTCCAAGGGCCCCCAGGCCCCCGCAACAGGTGTGCTCCCTGAAGAAGTGCTCCCCCAGTGTGTACTCGGGGGTGCAGTTTGCTGACTCTCCCTCCTGAGGACAGTGCAGCCAAACTCCGTGAAGAATCAAGCAGGGGTGAGGATGGAGGTTTGGCTTCCTTTCCGTCTACCCTTATTTTCTGCAAAATCATTCGTCGACTTCCCAAGTTCACCTTGGGGACACTCTGGGGACCCGCTGCCCACTCCGTCTCTCTGGGGAGCAGAGGGGCTCCTGGAGTTGGGGCCCGGGTGCTGAGAAGGATGAGCACTGGCTCACGGAGTTAGCTGAGTGACGCTCCCCGAGAGGTGTGTCCCTCCAGAACCTGTGGGTGTCACCCAGCTTGGAAAAGGGTCTTTGTGCATGTCATCAAGTGAAGAATCTCGAGATGAGATGATCCTGGATTGGGCAGGTGGCGCTGAGTGAGCTGATGAGAGTCCTGGAAAAAGAAAATGTCCACAGAAGAGAAAGACGGAGCAGGAGTTTAGACACAGAAAGCAGGGAGAGGAGGCCGACGCCCAGGCTGGAGAGCAGGAAGCATCCTCCCTCGGGCCCCAGGAGCCCCGGCCCCGCCAACATCTTGATTTCTGACTTGCAGCTTCCAGTACGGTGAGAGCAGAAATCTGTCGCTTAAGCTACCATCTGTAATCATTGTCCCAGGAGCCCCAGGGGACTCATCAGAGTCCCGCAGTCAGCTGGGAGTCCCCACCCTGCGGCTGAAGAGCTGTGTGGCCTCGGGCAGGAAAACCTGCCCCCTCGTGGGCTGGTGTGAGACTGGCAGTCCCTCGCTTGTTCGTTAAAGCCTGAGGGGCCAGGTGCTCGGTGGGCGGCCCCTGCTGTTCTCACGACCTGACAACCTGACCAGGAAAGCCAATGCACGCTGCTACTGCTCAGAAAAGCCCCGAGTGCCTGATGCCTGGCAGGTGGGGTGCTCCCTGGGGGTCTTCGGGGGTACTGGAGGTGCCCCAGCTGCCACCACACCCCACAAGACCCCAGCTCTGCTCAGCAGAGCCCAGAGCTCAGCCAAGTCTCATTGGGATGTCACATAAAGATTCAGGGTCATTGGTGCCAAGTTCAAGAGCAGCAGAGACTGTGACTCCAACTGTCTTGTGTGGAGGCTTCTACAAGAAACCCTTACAACGAACAGAGCTCATGGGAATCAGATGCTGGAGATGGAAGCGGAAGCACTGCCCACACAGGCCAGGTTTTCCACACTGGCAGGGTCACCCCACCCTCGCTTGGCTCTCCTTGCCAGCCTCTCCACGAGGGACACCCTGTAACCCACCCACTAACTGACCTCCGGGAATCAGGCTGGGCACAGGCTGACTGCACCATCATAAATGAGGCTTAAACGGAAATCCATGTTTCCCACTCTGGCCATGGGACCTCTGGGAATAAGCCCCTAGCTGCAACCAGGACCATGGACTTAATCCCAGCAAAAACCCCAAGCCCCAGTGGTGACAGCAATGAGCAGTGTACAGGAGGAGGCAGGAAGGAGGAGGAGAGGAGGGTGAGAGACAGGGAGGGGAGGAGGGAGGAGGAGGAGAGGAGGAAAGGAAGAGAGGAGGGAGGAGGGAGAAGAGGAGGAGGAGAGAAGGAGAGGGAGGAGGAGGGGAGGGAAGAGAAGGAGAGGGAGGAGGAG